ACTTTACTTTTCCATCTTTCTCACCGCCTCTAAGCCCAGACCCAAGTCTGGGGCTGTATCCTGTCAGGGCCCTCAGAATCAAATCCTACAAGACTACCCTGCTCATAGCCCGGGACTAACAGTTAACTTGCCCTTGCTCTATGCTGCACCCACAAGAATGGATCCACAGATTTTTGTGTCTCGTGGTTTGGCCTTCCAGAGTTTTTAGCGTGGTCAAAATAAACAACAAATAGAAACTCTCTAACAGCATAGAGTAGCATAGAGTAGTATGGGAGTAGCACAGTAATGGAAATATGCATACTGTATCAACATATGAGTACATTCAAGAATGCTGAGGAAAAGGGAAGTTTTTTTAAGGCAGAATGGGTGGATTCTATATAATCTTCTAAACAACAGTCACTGGCTACTAAGATCAGTAATGAGTGGCATCTGTCCAAGATTACACAGACACCCTGACAGCAGTATATTTTTGTGTAAGGTTTTAGTAGGCTTTGTGCAATGTCACAGCTCTCCCGTGTTTTCTGTGAACAGTGCTTGCTATCCGGCACACACGAGATCACCTCTTTGCAACTTTATCCATTTCTTTGGGGGGATGGGGGGGTTTGACAAAAATAACGCCATTTTGATTCTGACAACTTTCACAGCATGTATACAACAGAAAACACTCTTGCTAATAATTCTGGAGTTTTAGTATGCTAAGGCCTGCTACCAAAGAGCTGAAGAGCACGCCACACTCTGTCTGCCACGTGTGTGAGTCCATAATCCACCGTAGAGAAGTGACCTGTCAAGCACTGGGCCAAAGAAGTATTTACCTTTCCTCTGGTAAGTTCAGACTGCATCACCTCTAAGAATATCTGTCCTTGGGGTAGAAGACCAAGAGTAGAGCCGACAGGAAGCTGAAGAGGAACAGATAAGTGTGCCCACCCTGAGCAGCTCTGCTTGCTGCAACAAATCCTGGAGATAACCAGCTTAGAAGAGAAACGGTTTATTTTGGCTGACAGTATTAGAGGCTCCAGTCCATGTGGATTGGCTCCACTGTTACAGGGCAGTGATGGGGAACTCTACAGAGACCAAGTACCAAACTGCAACCCAAAACCCATTTATTTATCCCAAAATGCCAACACTGCAATTAAACTAGAATTCTGAGGTTTCAGTTTAGAAAAAATAATTCATATGTTAACATCTTTTGTCTTAAAAGAAAACAGAGTGACACGCGTGCCATGGGTTTGCCACCACTGCTTTAGGGCCTGTGGCGTGGCAGCGCCAAGGCATCCACCCACCTCATAGCCAGGAAGCAAGAGAGAGAGCAGAAGGGGCTGGTGTCCCCGTATCCCTTCCAAGGGCATGCTTCCCAGAACCTGAAGACCTCCTGCTAGGCCCGACGGCCTAAGATTCCGTGACCTCCCAACATCACCAAGCTGGGGACCAAGACTTTGATACACAGGCTTTCCGGAGACATTTCAGATCCAACGACAGCAGGGGCCAAGATCATGACACTCTGTGATAGCTGAAGGTGTCAGGTCGAGTAAAAAAAGTCAACTAATGGGCTCTCCAGTGTGAGAAAAATGCCCAGGGTAGCCTGAAAAGGGGAAATGAAAGACAGATCTGCTTCTGAACTCCAGTCTTCACCTTCACCTTGGACGTCATCTCCTGGCTTCCCCTGCAGACTCTTGGCCTTCTGGAGCAGACCTTCGGAGCGGGACACTGCAGTGAGCCCCAGGCCTTCGTGGGACCCTTCGGTCTCCAGGATGCAGACAGGCCCTCTGCACTCTTCCTCATCAACTGTGGGCGGCCACTGGAAGCCAATCTTGTAAATTTTTACCTCTATTTTTGTATATCTTGTGTGATCTTTATTTTTTGAGTAAACACTGACTGATACACTCTCTTATGAAGCGTATCTGTGGCATTATTCTGGAATAAATAACTTGGACTTTGGCATGCATTAATGAGAAAATACTGGTTGGAGTCTAGGGAAAGATTTAAGACAAGAACAATTCTTTGGGTTGCCATTCACCTAAAGACAGGGTAGGAATCACCAGCCTGGTGGAAAGAGAAGCAAGACTAGAACCTGTAGTACTAGAGAGGACCCCCATAGAGGGTGTAATGTCTCTGTACTGTCTCTTGAAATATGGGAGAAATAATGTGAGCATACATTTTGTTCTCCTTTCATAAGTGACTTTTTTTTTTTAGTTACCCCAAGCCTAAAACGAAATCTGATAATTCCATACATGCTTGTAGGCAGTGCAAAGAGAAAAGCAACTGGGCTATGAAGCTAAGTGTTGCTAACATGTGGCCCTTTCTGGAAGCCTCCATGCCTCCAGCCTCTCTCGCACAGGAGCTGACGTTCCCGGGGACCTCGAAGGGGGAGGAAAGGCCGAGTGCTGGCAAACTGATGCTGGTGGGGCCAAGCCCACAAGCTCACAACGGCCTGATTAAAGCCTCCAGGCAGCTGATACAACCCTGTGCATCTTGTCTAACCTGGTAAGTCAGAGTTTTCCTAAATCCATGTCAGGATTATCCAAATCATTGCCATAGTTATAGAAATGACTGTCAAATTGTTTTTATTCTCCGCTGTTTTGGAGTTCCTTTCCACGTACCATTCCTAAATTCTCATAGACATCTTTGGCTCACCAATAGTTTATTTTACTGATTTTGTTTTTCTATTGCTACTTATACCTCTCTCCCTACACAACACCCACACACAAGATCAAGCTTCTGAATTTTATTTATCAAGACTACTCAGGATTCTAATAATAAAACTCTTTCCTTCTTTTAACCTTTCTCTTTTTTTTTTTTTTTTTTTTTTTTTTTC